TATAGGAGTGACGAGCAAAATCGAATGAATCTTTCGCTAAAACTCAGTCAGATACATCGGCACTTCGAATTTCTCCCCCTGCGGTCATTTTCCTGTCGGGCATTGCACACCTTCTTCCTTCTCGAGCGCCAATATTAACTCTCCTTTCTCTCTCCTCTCATCGCCATCAGCTTTGCCCCGGTTAGAACCCCCACGGTCGGATCTTAACTTACTCATTTCTACCAAGGAACGAGCGAAGCACGGTCTCTTTCTGCCTTGTCATCTCCACTTTCCCCCCGGCACCTTCGTGCAGAGCTTTTCTGTACTATCTCGTATTTTGCTAACTCTCACGCTCATCCAACTACGAATCCGAGGTCGCCCGCCCTAAGAACCCCAAATTCGTACCCTCCCTCGCTTGATTTCGTTTGGTAGCGAGGGAGATATACATTTTCCAACTCTCTATTCCTTTCGCTCCACCATAGCTTCACGCAACATCTCTCTCTTCTATCTCCCTCTACACTAACTCTGATGCTAATCCGACCTCAGATCCGGGGTCGCCCGACCTCAGAACCCCCGGATCGACTCCTTTCTCTTCCGATTCTGTTCACTATCGGCTACGCCATGCTTTCATCCCTCTTCTTCTTCCCGTTCGCTCCATAGCTCCGCGCAATACTTTCTTCATCTAACTCCTAATTTACTAACCTTTTCGCTAATCTACCACGTTCAATGGATTCGCCTAATGTATAGCCCCAAAATCGGTCTTTACCTCGCCCGATTCCTTTCGGAAGCGGGGGAGATACGCATTTTCCATTCTCCCTTTTTTCTACTCCCGCCATCTCTCGCGCAGCTCAATTTCCTCGTATCTCCTATCCCCCTACGTCTTTTCCCATTTTGGCCTCACTGTTGAGTTCGCCCTGGGCAAAAACCCCGGGATTGCCTCTTTCCTCGCTCGATTCAAATAAGAATCGGGCGAGCTAAGTTCCTTCTGTTGCGCCCTCCTCGTTTCTCCATAGCTGCACTATGCGAATGTATCCAGCACAGAAAAGTGCCCTGATTCATTCCCTCCGTTAATTCCTCCTCCAACCCTCTCCTCTGCTGTTACTCGTCGCTCTTCGATGCTGCGCTGTGCAGCGCTGCCCGTTCGGCCCTGCTGTCTGCCTTGCTGCCTTAGCGCCCCCGTTACTACCCTCCCTCGCTGCCTCTCTTTGTTTGTCTCAGCGCCCATCCGCAGCAGTCCGCTTGTCGGCCCTCCTACACTATTCCTCCGTCCGCTGTTGCGCAACACTGCCCGGACAGACCCATGGATCGACAATCAGTTCCCTTGCGTTCCCCCACCACACTTCCTTTCTTCTGGGTTTCTCCTGACCCCACCTGCCTTAATCAGGCCCCGCCTTCCCCTCAACTCGTCTGCGGACACCCCCCCCCCCCCTTCAAGCTTCTCCTAGCAAGCCGTGGAGTTATTAGCGCGAGCCTACCACAGGCTTGCGCCGTGAGCCTTCGCGAGGCAGGTCGCGGTGCAGTCCTTGGTGATCGAGCCGACATTCAACTGGGAACTCGGAGGACCGAGTGCTCACTCATACATTGGATTTCCTCAGTCCACGCACTAACACGGCGGGGTAGAAAGCCCCTCGTCAGCACTCCCAAACACGTACAACCCGTAGGGTAGTCACAAGGAGGTATCCACTCGAGGTCCTCGACTCCCGTAACGGTCGCTAAGTCCGACGTCGCGCCCGGGTCAACGGCACGCCGGAGTACAACAAGAAAATAATAAAAACACGGCGTTTAAAAAGAATTACTTAGAAAGTGCTGCCACCGACCGGACGCCGCTGATGGCAAAACCAAGGGGGATAGCCCCGTTGGGCCCTCAACCCCTCGGTCCACTCATGCTGCACCGATATTCCCACGGCGTCGTCGCTCGATCTCGATCCCTGCATCTCTTTGATGAAAGTCTGACGTCGTAACCGCTAGTGCTAGGCCCAAGATTGGGTCTAGTGTCGGCGAACACCTATATAAACGAATATTGCGCGACGCGCGGGCCTACTGAAAACACTTCAAAGCCTCCTTGTTGTCAATGTCAATCTCCGCACGTACGCACAAGTCACCCGTAAGTGCACCAATCAAAAGACAACAATCTATTTAATCCTAGTTTAATCAAAAAATGAAAATTTGGCCGGCGCCCACGCCGGCTCTTTAGTCATCGAGGATAAAAAGGAATCACGCGCGCCTTAAGTCTACGCGCCCACACACTCTCTACTTCTAGTCAACCACTTAGTCAATGTAAACCACAAACATTGTCGCGCCTTGTGCGGTATACTTTAAACTTTTAAACCAGACTTATTTTCTGTCATCTGCAAAAACTAGGGCGAATACCCTTGTAAGGGTATTCGCACCGACAATGAATCAGGCAGAGGACCAGACATGTTCCATAAGTTTGGGTGGTCTTGGTCCAATGCCACGGACATGTTGGAACCAAAAGGTTATAACTTGGCTATATTTTATTACTATCCTACTTATGAACAGGCTAGTCAGACAGGGTTCCATAAGTTTGGGTGGTCTGACTATAGCTTATGACAAACTGAAGAGAGTATTAACTAAGAATAAACTTGTGGTAAGAAGGGGCAGGCTGAACCTCGAGCTAAAGATGATCGGTTCAGTCATATGCTACCTTAAAAGGCTAAGTGCAGATAATCATATAAAACTTGGATAACTTAAACAATTCAGGGCGACTAGGGTGACCTAGTAATGTTTCTAAGGAAGAGAAAAGTTGTAGTGCCCTGTGTTTGTGTATATTCAATGGCTGAGCTAGACATGTTCCATAAGTTTGGGTGGTCTAGCTTTATGCCTTATGTAAGCTGGGTATAAAGGGATGAATCATTGAAAGACTATGAACTATTGTTTGATAAGGTTAACTTTAGGTTGGTGAGAGTACTTACCTTTGTGGTTTGGTCTGCATGTGGCTGAATGAGATTATTTACTTCGTCTGAGTTTCAGTTTGATAGGTAGTTGCTTTAGCTGCTCGCCACTTGCTAGAGCGATAGGAGTTAGTTCAATTTTTGCATTTTCTGAGCTAAGTTTATTTTACTTAGGTTGATTTCTGCATTTTCATGGATCATTTATTATACTTGGTCTTGTATAAATCTTGGTAAGCCGCTTTCTTTACGGGAAGCGCTGCCGAAATTTTTACAAAACCAAGGAGTTAGTCAGATTTTGTGTTTTCAAAGTTCAGCTTGTCTGACTTTTATATATGGCTTAGTTAAAATCTGGAAAGTCCCATTTTGTAAAGGGAGTGATGTTCAAATTTTTGCTAATTCGGGGACAAAATTGAACCTTAAGAAGTCAAAGTCACTTTAGATTTTGAACTTACCTTTGTATAAATCTTGGATTATAACTTTTATGAGGGGAGTGTTGTCAAAATTTTTACAAATCTAAGGAGTTAGTTAAAATTTGTCTTAGTTGAACTCGGGTTTTGCTCTGGGTTCATATCCGACTTAGTAAAAGTCTGGAAAGTTTTCTCTTCTAAAGAGAGTGCTGCCAAAAATTTTACTAATTCAGGGAGTTCAACAAAATTTGACTTTCCAGAATTAGAGATTGTTTTTGTTTTCATATTTGAGTTAGTATAAATTCTGAGAAACCACTTTTCCTACGGGAAGCGCTGTCGGAATTTTCTTAGTTTAAATAAGTTAGATTATATTTTAACAGGTGGCAATTCTGGCAATCCACCCTGAATAAGGGAGATGCTGCCATAGGTCTACCTTGCGTTGGGTGCTGGCTTAGAGGTAGGCCTAGGCTTAGCTTATAGGTTCCCTATCTTACCTGTGTACAGTATTGATGTCAACCCGTAGACTTTAACCCGCGACCTATAGGATCGTCAGTGGTAGGCAGGGTTTCGTAGGTCACAGCTTAGAAGGGAATCGAACTGTAGACCTGTAGGGTAGGAGTCTAGACAGTTCCAAAGTCGTAGCTGTAGGATGCCTAAAGAGTGAAGGTCGTAGCTGCTACTTACCTGAAAGGGCAAAGTTGTAGCTGCTACAGTACCGAAAGGCCAAGTTCGAGACTTCTAGAAGTGGCCTTTCGGAGTTGGCCTGTGTTCAGCAGAGGCAAGTGGTCAAGTGGTGGTAGTCCACCTAGCCCAGTCAGCAGTCCCAGTTAGTCAGTCCGGTCCTGTTCAGCAAGTACCATCTGGGACTGTGTGCACATCGTGGGCCAAGGGATACAGGGCAGACCAACGCAGCGCAAAAGTATAAATCAAGAGGCTGCGTCCAGCCATTCATTCATGCCTGTGGATGCCATGTGGAAGCGCTGCCTCAGCAGCTTGTGCGAGGAGGTCTGCAGTGCGCCCGAAGACGAAGAGGGCAGAGAAGGGTAGTGTAGCGATAGGGTAGTGGCAGCCGTAGCTGCCATAGCTATAGTAATGTGCATGTAGAGTATTGCGTGTGGGATATCCAGGGTGATCCAGAGTGCGAACAGTGAGTTGTGTGGGCGAGTGGTCGCCATAGCAAAGAGAACTCTTACCTGGTTACGATATCTTTGAGTACTGTGTGGGCGCATGTCGCCAGTTTGCTGTCTCACTGTTTGCATGTGTAACAAGTGTGAATAAGCGAGTCTGATTGCACCATGGACTTATACATTTCGCTTGGGGATTGGTCTTTCTTGTGTTACAGGTCCTCTTGATCGTTTGATTCAGGATCTGGAATAGAATCAGTTTGATCCCACGAGGATCATCTTCTGTTATCACTGATAACAGGTTGGTTGTCGATTCGTTGATTTACGACTCAACTTCACTTCACTCTCATTACTCAACTTGAAGGCTTTAGCCTGATGGTTTTTATTCTGTTATTAAGGCTTTCACTCGGACTTTTATTAAATATTATTTTTACAAGGGGACTAAGTATTTAATTATGGAAGGTTGGACAAAGGTTGGGGCTTGCATGGCTAAAGCGAGGGGTATGAGTATAAAAAATGGTTGAGGTTGACTCCGTGTAATGTGTGGACTTTTGATCGACTCTTTGATGTGATTGCAGGTATGTTCTGTGGTTCGGACTTTGGATGTGACTGCCTACGATCACATACATATATATGGTTGTGAGTAGTCGCATTGTGATTGTGAGAAGTGATCGTCACATACTTATTTCCCACTCGTATGTTGTCCTCTTCTCCCTCTCTGCCTACGGTTTACCGGGCAGTTCTATTTGACGATATATATGCACATACCTATGTTTGGGTGCTCGCGTGGCCTGAGGGGCACACGCTTAAGGGTTTAATTGGGGTCGAGATTGAGAAAGGAAGGAAAAACCCTTTTATTGTTGTATGCTTCTTAAAAAAAATTTAGTCGGATATTGGTCCTGGGCCTGGATTCGAGGTCCTTGCCCAAGACATCCCAGGTTCTAGACTCTGCATGAAAGGGATCACCCCCCGCGCAGAGCCTATTTGCCCTACCCACCGGGACACTCAGCCTTAAAGGTTGGAGGTGTCGCGGAGGCCGTACGAATGTTCCTTCAGCCGTGCAATATCGTGAAGGGGTTGACCTTCACGATACTTCGAGTCTGACACTTGAGTGAGTGTCATAAGTGGTACTCGGATCCACGAGGGACCACTCGATTATGGGCACTACATAGTACGCCATCATTGGGGCAAGCCCATAGTACGCCATCATTGGGACTGCTTGCATATTCATACATTGTTAGTTCATATGGGAAGGCCATGCGTCCGCGCGATTTTATACTAAGTCTCCCGCACGTCGCCAATCCGATTTCCGCATCGGAGAGTTATGGGATGGCTACTGAAGGGACTAGCATTGTGTGCGTTGTTTTGTTCATGTCGTTTCGTCTGCGTGTGAGTTTGTGCGTGTTTTAAAATTTTATGTTCTTAGTGTGGTGTACGAGTGGTGTGTGGGAAGCGTCCTAGTCGATCGGCGACAGGTCGCGCTTGGGACCTCAGCCCCCCTAAGGCATTGGTTTGCGTGCGGGTACGATAGAGGCGGGAGACCTCGCGTACCCCCTATGCTACAATGAACGAGAAACGCCCTTGGCTTGTCCACCTCTGCGATTGCAACTGATAAGCTTTCGAACCGTGGATTGGTAGCTCGGGGGGGATACGCCCACCGAAGGTAGGTGACAACTCCCGCAAGGTGGAGGTAAGTCGTGCCTCGCGTAGGCCCTATCCTATCGTAGGGGCTTGGAAGAGTTATGGCTGGCGCACTCAGCCGGAGCGGCTTGCGGAAGCTCCTTGTGTATTCGCGACGAGGATTAGACCAACTCCTGCGTGACGTGGCCGGGAGGGTCCCGCCCCGTTAGTGTGGTGCCGGACCAATGCGCTCGACACCGGGGTACCGGGGCGTGCAAAAAAAAAAAAAAAAAAAAAAAAAATCCCTTTTTGAGCTCTCCCAGAGGACCCCAAATCCAGGCTCTTTTCATTTTTTGAGAGTTGGTTGTAAAGGGGGGGGAAGGGGGAGGGAAAGGGGGTTTCCTTAGTGTGATTTTGTTATTTTCTTTTTTATCTTTGATTCGGTGAGGAATTCTGTGTGACCCTCCTTTACAACCAAGCGTTTTTTTTTTTGGACTTCTACACAACATGTTTTTATTGCAATTCTACACAACAGTTGTTTGTATTGCAATTCTACACAACATGTTTTTTTTTTTTGGAATTTTTTTACTCTCGTTTTTTTTTTTTTTTTTTTTTTTGGCCCGTGGACTGCTCAAAACCTTGCTTGGGGTCACCCACACATTTATCCGGGCATAAGTTGGGTGCCCGGGCACCCAGAAAAACAACCTGGTTAATTAATTATTTTTCTCGTATATTTTAAATTCATTTTCAGATTTTTTCTTAAAATATATTATGATCAATTAATTCCTTTTCGCAATTCTTTTTTTGAATTTTTTTTTCCAAATTCTTTTTTATATATAATTTGGACGTACTTTTTTTTTTTGGTTATTCTGAACTCCTCCATTAATTTTGACTAGATTCAATTCATTCACGACTAAATTAATCCCTTCATTCGGAATTAACCACCCTTTCTCAAAATTTTAACATTTTTCTTTTGTAAAATTCCTGCAAAATACCTTTATTCGGAACTAATTCTTTGTTTTGTGAATAAAAGCCTCCAACCTCTCCCTCGGGTATGCCACGCCAAACCAAAAACTCTCAACGCGCCGCTGCTGACGTCGTCGCTGCTACCGCCACTGCAGCTGCCTCCATCTCATCACCGCCCGCTTCTCCAATAACTGCCACCACCCTGGTCGTTTCCTTCGCGATGGCCGCGAAATCTAGCATCAATATGTCCTCCATCAACACCCAATCCGTTGATAGCCTTCGTCGCGAACTCATTGGTCCACAGGCTGCCACCCAGGAGGTTTAAGGGAAGGGTCTTCGATATCGAAATGAAATTATACTCAAGAAACAAGGCAAAAAAAAAAAAAACATGTCATATTTCGAATCAAATAAATCGAAAAAAAGCGCACCATGCAAGCCACCGTCAACTCCCTCCAAGCATCTCTCTCAGTCCTTTCCCAACGGATAGCCACCGTCGAACAACAACAGGCCTCCCTCGCCATCTAGATTATCACCACCACGCACCCCCCCCCCCCCCCCCCCGGTTCCACCATCCTTCCCCTATCCTTTGCACCCACGTCCACCGCCCTCTCCGCTAACACGTCATCCACACCCTGGCCTTTATCTACCACTACCTCCACCAGGGTCGCCCCACCGCCCAAGACAACAACCCCCGTCGTCACACAGTCGTCGACCATTCCCCCCCAGTCAAAACCTCTCTTGACTTCATCCACTATCACCTCCACCCTCCCCACCTATATCCGGACCACTTCCACACCACAAGCCCTGCTCCCCGTTCTTCCAATACTTCATCCGTCCACACTCCTTCCAACCAACCCCACCAGCGATTTCGCCCGGGTACCGTTCTCCTCACCCAAACTTGACTTCAACACCCTCGCCCTCACAACATCCTTAATGGGTAAAATTTCCCCATCCTTTCGATCAATGGACATTCCCCCCTTCACCGACCTTCCCCACGAGGACGTCTTCGTCTTCCTCGGCAAACTCTACGACGCCTTCTCCCTCCACAACGTCCCTGTCACACACTGGTTCCGTATTGCCAACACCAGGTTGAAGGAGGGCGTCGTTCGTTGGTGGTACTGACTGTAAAAGACGGTCGATGACTCTTTGAGCAACTCTGTCACCTTCGACAGAACGGCCCGCTTCAAAAGACTGTAAAAGACGGTCGACCGTTTTGTCCAATAAGTCTGTGTGCCGCGGCAACACATCCCCCTTGACTACGTCAGCGGTGCCGCATTCATCTCCCGCTTCAAACGGGAATGTTGCAAGGACCTTGCCACCTCCCTCGTCCACGACCCCTCGATGTCCATCTCCGATCTCTTCAACCGCGCCATTCACCTAGACAATTTCCTCACCCCGTACAAGGACGCACTCACATCCCCCAACCCGCCGCTTTCGCATCCGCCACTCCTGGTCCCTCCTCCACTTGAATATTGTCCCCATGATCATCGCGAACCCGCCACGACATCGACGACTAGTCTGTTGGCCATCCCATCGGTGACGACCTCTACCCCACCGATGGCCCATTTGGCATCGACAATTCGTCTGCCCCCCTCTTTCCTGGGTGACACACCTCCCACTGGACGATCCCCAGTTGTGCAACCCACGTCGCCTGTCGCCGCTCCCACTAGTATATGTCCCTCTACCCTTCTCCTGAATCATCCTCCGTCACCTTCTCTGATGTTGTTGAGGAATAAGCCTGACACGATTGGCTTGTCAGATTAAGCACCGAACAACGCTGCTTTAACGCCATCATCTCCACCGTCTACTCATCCCGCTTCCACCTCAAGTTTATCGCCGCCACCCTTGGTGCGTCTACAACCAAGTTTCGGGCCCTCCTTGACATTGGAGATACCGGCGACTTTATCACTGATGCGTGTATTCGAAAAGCCAGTCTCACCTCTACCGGTTACGAATCCCGGATTACCATTCGTCTACGGGATAAAGACACTGCGGTCGTAGTAGACCGCACGGTTCCCGAGACCACCATGACTGTTGGAACCCTCTGCAGTCAGGTCTCATTCGATGTCATGCACTTGATATGCGACATCGTTTTGGGAACACCTTGGTTGGACCACTACATGCCATACACGTTCCACCCCAACTTCTTCCTCCTCGCCAACCCCCCCGACACACCCATCGACATCCCCTATTTCCCCCACCCTACCTCCCAAAACTTCGTCACTCCCCACCAGTTTCTCCACATGGCCCGTCACAACCCTGACTCCACCTATTACTGCCTTGTCCTTGATCGCGAACGTCTTGAGGACTTGCTCCCTACGGACAAGCCCGATCAAGCTCCCCCCTTCGACCTCGCCCTCACCTCCATCCTCAACGAGTTCACATACGTTTTTCCCACGTCCTTGCCTGCCGGATTACCCCCGGATCGTGGTGTACCTCATACCATTGATCTGGAACCCGGCCACTCTCCGCGGTACCGCCCTCCATACCAACTCTCTGTTTCGGAAGCCGAAGAAATGAAGCTCAAACTCAATGAACTCCTTGAAAAATGATTCATTAAGCCAAGCTCCTCCCCCTTCGGTACAAGTCCCCTTTTAGTAAAGAAAGGTTGAACCTCATAACTAAGGATGTGCACAGACTACCGCGCCTTGAATCGGATCACGATCAAGAACAAGTACCCCCTACCTCAGATCTCCGAGCTTCTTGATCGCCTCCGTGGAGCCAAATATTTTACCAAGATTGACCTCCGCAGTGGCTTCTACCAGATCCGCATCCGCGAGGAAGACACCCACAAGACCACATTTCGTTCTCGGTTCGGGCACTACGAGTTCCTCGTGATGCCCTTCGGACCCACCAACGCCTCGCCACATTCCAATCCACCATGAATCACATCTTTCGCGACCTCCTCGAAGTCTGTGTCGTCGTCTACCTTGATGATATCCTTGTCTATAGCCCCACCTTCGAGTCCCACCTTCAACACGTTCGCCAAGTCCTCTTTATCCTCAGAGAGCAAAAATTCTACGCCAAGCTCAGCAAATGCACCTTTGCTACCTCTAGCGTAGAATACCTTGGCCACACCATCTCTGCTGAAGGAATCCGCATGGACCCCTCAAAGGTCACAGCCCTCGTTTAGTACCCCCTGCCCAAGACCCTACTCCAACTACGCTAATTCCTCGACCTTGCTAACTATTACAGCCCTTTCATCTACAACTTCTCTGACATCTCTTACCCACTCCACAAACTCACACGCAAGGACGAGCGCTTCAATTGGAACGACTGCCGCCAAAACGTCGTCGACTTCCTCAAACAAACCATCACCACGACCCCCATCCTCAAGATCGTCGACCCTTCTCGACATTTCTACGTTACCACTGACGCCTCCGACTTCGCCATTGAAGCCGTCCTCTCGCAACATTTTCCTCGCGACACCTCCGAAACCCCCTCCATCAAAGACTCCCCCACCCACCCCGAGGCTCCACCCGCCGAATACCCCATCAAATTCGCAAGGAAGAAGCTCCTTTCTGCGGAGATGAACTACCCCTCCAACGAGAAGGAACTCCTCGTCGTGATTCACGCCGTCAAAGTTTGGCGCCCATACCTCGACGGACAATACTTCACTATCCACAATGACAACACCGTTGTCTCCTCTATCCTCACTAAGAAAGACATCACGCCACGCCAAGCCCGCTGGTTAGACTTTCTTGCCCAGTTCACATTCAGCATTTGCCACACCTCCAGCGAAAGCAACCACGTTGTCGATGCCCTCTCTCGACGCCCCAACCACAAGCCCTCCAAGAAAGTCTATGCCACCATGACTCATATCCAACTCCTCCCATCACTCCACCACCGCTACAACCACGACTACCTCTCTTGCCTTGATTTCTCAACAATCTACAACAAACTTTGTGACCTCGACCCAGTCCCTGACAACTCCCTTCACGACCAATTTCTTTACATCGACAACAAAGGCACTCACCGACTTTGCATCCCCGACGCTCGTGGGCTCCGTACCCAACTCTTGGTCGAGCACCACGACACCAAGACTGCGGGACACCTCGGGTTCCAGAAAAACTTCGACACCATCTTCTGCTACTTCTATTGGCCTTTGCCTACTTGTCGACGCCAAAGCTTACATTCGCTCATGCCCCACATGTCAAGTCGTCAACCCTTCGAACCGAGCCGAACCCGACAAGTTACAGTCGTTGCCTATTCCCACTCACCGCTTGCAGTCCATCTCTATGGACTTTGTGTGCGGTCTCCCCAAGACTGACTGCATCTATGTCATCGTCTGTCACTTGACCAAACGCACTTACTTCATCCCTTGCACTACTTCACACAACGCCAAAGACGTTGCCACTCTCTTCTTTGATCATGTCGCACGCCATCACAGCCTCCCCGAGAACATCATCAGTGACCATGATCCCCGCTTCCTCTCACAATTCTGGAAACACCTCTTCAAAGCGTATGGAACCACACTCAAGCATAACACTGCATTCCAACCCCAGGCTGATGGACAAATCGAGAAGATGAACGATACTCTCCAAAGAATCCTGCAGAAGTATTGTCATCCACACCAACACGAGTGGGACCAGATGCTCACAGCCGTCGAGATCGCCTACAACAATGCCGTTTGTCCCTCCATTGGCATGTCCCCATTCTACCTCAACCTTGGCTACCATCCTCGCTTGCCCTCTGACTTTTTGCTTCCTTCGCAACATAACCCCTCCACCCACTGCCTTCTCTCAATGAATGGGTAGCAACAATGAACAAACTCCTCTGAGAAGCCACCAAAGCCCAACAAGATCAACAAACACAAACGTGATGTAACATTCAAAGTCGGGGACAAAGTCTGGCTCTTTGCCAAACGCTTTGAACCCGAACACGGCTTGTGCACGAAACTCTCGAATAAGTGGCTCGGACCCTTCCCCATCATTGAACAAACCTCCCACGTCAATTACAAGCTCCAACTCCCTCATCACATGAGTCGTGTCCACCTTGTCTTCCACGTAGAATACCTAAAAGACTATCATGAATCCCCACCCCAATTCGCTGGTCGCCCATACCCAAGACCTCCACCAATCATGTGACCCACAGACCTTGAATTCGTCATCGAAGCCATCATAGGACATAGAACTACTTAGGTATTTGACAACCCTGAACCATTCACATAATACAAAGTTAAATGGTCAGGATACCCCGACAAAAAATCTACATGGGAACCTCTTGCTAACCTTAAGAATGCCATGAAACTTGTTCGTGCCTATGATCGCGCCCATCCTATATCCTAGCTACCCACTATGCCTAAACTTTGCCTAAACCTCGCCTAAACCCTGCCTTAACCCTGCCTCAACCCTGTCTTGAACTACACACATCCCCTGTACCCAGCAAAACCCTAGCCCCTCGACCTCCCTCTATCTGATCCGCTCTTGCCTCCGTCTCACCCCGTTCTCCCATCTGTCCTCTGTCACATCTCTGTCCCTCTTGTCCAAGTGTATGTGGCCCCTGAGCGTTGCCGACGATAACGGATCTAATGGCAAGCGCACGAGGACGATGGCATGCTGCAGCTCAGTACGAGGAGATACGAGAGCTGGTTGGCCACCATGCTGTTCCCTTTGGCCGGCACCTTGGACTCGCAGACTTCTGGAGCAGCACCTTTGACATGGACATCAAGATCAGTCTGCGACCTGCTATCCGGATCAGACCTCATCATCAGATCGTGTACCGGATGCAACTAGCTACTATGACAATCAAGCTGAAGTCCTCGCCGTCTACATCATAGAACTGTTGAAGACTGCTTCATCACTGACACTTTTGCGATACCCTCCAAGACCTTCCTCAAGACTTTTTTTTCGCTTTTGACAGTTTGGTACAAACCTGAGACATTGTACAAACACTCCAGCACTTTAGCATTGAACAAACATTTCCCCCCCCCCC